CCCAGAATTCCCCCACTGGGGGGAGATGGGCAGTTGAAAAATGTAATTAATTAATTAATTAATTAATAACATACTTTAGACAAACAGTTGCAGCAGGAATGCTTCATTCAAGATGACTATCACTTTGCAATAGAGTTAGTTTGTTGTAGTGGTTGAGGGCACCAGGCTGCGAGACCATGAGTCCCACCTTAGGCACAAAGCCAGCTGGGTGAACTTGGGCCAGTCCCTCTCTTAGCCCCAGGAAGGAGGCAAGGGCAAACCACTTCTGGAAAGCCTTGCCAAGAAAACTGTGGACCTGGCCATGTAATTGCCCAGAGTCAAGACTGACTACAAGGTGCACAAAGAAAAAAACAATTATGTTTTAAAAATACTTAACATCCTGCATGAGGACAATTAGGTTGCCATGTTCACGTGGGTTGGATTTATTTTACTTTTTAAGTGTCACTGAGCCTAAATTATGGTATATTCCCTTAGAACAACCAGTTTCCTGCAACACTATTAATTTGATTCCAACATTCATTTAGTCTCTGTTCATTTATGCCCATTAATTCCACGTCTGCCTACTTCTGCCAACCGGGGCATGGAAGAGACTTTATTTTCAACTTTTGCAACGGGCTGGCTAGAACAGAAGCAATTCTGGATCCTTCACTCTGTGCTTTATGACCTCTAAAAGGGTAAGGTGGCAAAAACATTTATCAGTGGATAATTTGGCCTTGATAGCCAGATTCCTTATGAACTTGTGAGGCCCATCTACCCTTTTTCTTGCTATATTGGAATAAATCATAATTCTTCCTCCTTTTAAATATAAATGACTTTGGAAAAGAATGGGAACTTTGACTGGCAACCATATGAGTACCATAGCTCTTTCTGATAACATCATGGAAGTCAAGGAATTAAGACATGAACAAAATTAGCATTTTGTGACAGGACACCATAACACAATGGTTTTCCTCATGCTGGCATCCTGACCATGATGAAAAACACCTTCCATCATCCTTTTTTTTTTTTGCATAATTCATCATGCAAGTTTTCCTCTTGTGACTTATTTACAGAGCTGCTGATCTCCATGGAGGACAAGGTGCCATCCACAACTGGGGTGACCTATTTGCTAAAAAGGCAAATTCCATGAATAATTCCCTACATGGGTTTCAGAATTACCATACCTCATGCGTCTTCTTCATCATTTACTAATAAGGATAATATGCTGACTCATTTATGATGCTTTGTAAGGATCTCAAGATAATGTAAGTAAATTGGAACACTTGAAAATGACTGGTTTTGTACATCATGCTAAGTCATAATATAGTTTGGGGTTAGTGTGATTTGTGGACCAAGCTTTTGTGGCCTATTCAAGAAATCATGGCTGAGTGCAATACCTGGTTCTAGCTGAACTGTAAATGTTATGCAGATATTCTAGGTGTTCTCAACCAACTAGTATGCTAGACTCTAGGTCCCAATATGGCATTCATAGTTGATAGCTTGCCTGTTGACAATGCTGAAAGTTATCATGGTGTCCTGGTTCATCTGATTTTTTTAAAAAAAAACTCTATTAAAAATACACAGGAAGCGAATGTGCTGCAAATCAAAGAACCAACCTCAACTATGCCCTTTGCAGAGATGGCAGAGAACATTCAAGGGAAGTTAGAAAAGGTGACCAGGGCAACCTTTTCATGGATTTGCCTTTTGGTATTGGCACACTTGTAAGTGACCAATAATATTGTTTCAAAATTCCAAATATGATCCCAGGCCTCTTCTAAGCCATGTACCATGCCATATTCCTTTCCAAACATAGTCTAATTTCAAAGGTATTTGCAGAACCATAATATTATATTTGGTAAATGCCTAGTTTCCTAGGAAGTGGATTTGTGGAATTTTCCAGGTCTTCCATGGAGCAGAAACACCCTGATTATATTCACCTTTCTCTGGTAACATTCTGCAGCCACACAGTCCAAATTTTCTGTAAGAACCAGGTTTTCCTACCAGTATGATATATGCAAATTGAATAAATCTGATTATATTTTGTTTCATTTTGTCTTTGTAAATCATGAGGAATGACCACCACAATCACTGGAGCACCTTCTCAGCTATCGCCCTTCATGTGAGTTTTGAGTAAGGGCTTAATTTTACAGAACTCATAATTCAGTGTTCTGACATAGGCATTTATTTGCAGACCTACATAACTGTGCTTCACTAGGTTGAGAGAACCGGTAGCAGACAATGGATGAGGTGGACAGGTAGGGTGAAAGAAATTACTGAAATGTCCTTGGAAGAGCTACCTCTCCATGCCAGGAGTCAATAAAACTGAATTGTTCCCTAGTTATTCTGACCTGCGATGAATTTGTTACCAGAGTATAAAGGTGCATTTTCTGTTGGAATCTCAAGATATTGCCTTATGATACAGTGCATCTAATTGTAGAAATCCTGTGATACTGGATTCTCTGCTCAAAGAGAACGGGAAATCCTTTACACACTAAATACTGCAAGTAGCCAAAAGCTTCACCGTGTTTGTTACAAAGTCTGATGGATCAAAACCACTCTAGAAAATGGGGGGGAAGTAAATAGGTCATCGCAGAATAATGAAACAAGGACACAAGAGAAAATTAAAAACCTCAGCTTGATCTATTTCATCGTTATCAGGAACTAAATGCCTCAATTTCTGTCAGTCTGCCTCCAAAAATGGTTTGTCAGCTTTAACAAAATTTAATATATAAGCACTGAGACCAATAGGTCAAACAGAAATTGTTTCTTAGAAAAGTAGCAATTTAGCTCTTTTCTCCCTTCATTCTCTCCGCAAGAAAGCTACCCCAATGCAAAAGTTAATTTGTTAACACAAGTGATTGAGAGAACTTCAGCGATAACACATTGCAAAGCCATTTCCCTGTTAATTAGGCCCCAGAGGCATCATTACCAGATCAGAACTATCAACTGAAAAGCAATTTCCAAAGATGCTAGAAGTGAGGACTTATGCAGCTACTGAAGACTGCTTTGAAAACACCAAGAAAGTTTCAAATTGCCGTTGTCATTTTTATTTAAAGAATACAGAATTCTTGCATGTTCCTAGTTTTAGCATTTCTGGTTTTTAAGGATCTGAAATCTGCAATAAATGACCTGTCAAGAACCCCTAAGTCAACCAAAGAAACCAAGTTGCAGAATTGGGGGGGAGAGGGTGTGACACTATTTTCCATAATTCCTGTCAGCACCAGATGGTCCCTGCTACCTTAAATAACCCAAGACACTGGTCTCTCTCATGGGGAAGGAAGTTCAGAAGTGGCAGAAGTATTCTTCAATGAGGTTTCTCTACCTACATTGACCTCCTCAGTGTTTTTCAAGTAGCTTGAAGCCACCATCACAGGGAATTCTTGGAAACCTGGAGACAAATTGAGAAGAAACTGAAAGAACAGTTAATTCTTACAGCATTTATCTGGGAACTTGGTTCAAAGCAGAGGTGCCTTCCAGTTGGTTTTGATAACACGACACCACTGCAAATGCTGCTTCAGACTTTTGAGAGTCTAAACTACCTGGACAGCATTACCCCTGGCAGATAAGGGTGGAAAGGCTAGAAAGGTTATCAAGACAAGGCAACATGAAGGATGTGATATTAGTGCATATACTACAGTACACACTGTGATGATGGAACAGATGAAAACAAAATGGAGGATTGGAGCAAACTATCTTTGGCAGCCCAGGAACACTGGGGAGACAGAGCTACAAAATCCTTACTCCAGCAGTTCTAGCTGCGGCTTTGCTATCTCTCCATCTGATGGTCTATGAAGACCGAAATGAAACATGCATAAACCAGGTAGGGAGAAATTTAGGCACTCACAATATTGCTCAACTACAATACCCATGCCTGCCCATGCTGGTTGCCGCTCCTGGAATTGTTGTGCAGCAACACCAGAAGTACCACAGGGTCCTGTTTCCTGATCTAAGGCTTGAATTTCACATTCTGATTTGAGTCATGATGCTTGCTCTTTGCTTCCAGCATTTACAAACAAACTTAATAAAAAGTACCACTATTTTAAACATAATCTCCTCACTCCCCAGTAACAATTACCTGATTTAATCAAGTTTGTTTTTCTTTTTTTGATACTGTGCACAATTCTGAACAGTCCAACTAATGGGAGGACGAGAACACTCAGAAAGCAGGATTTTAGTTTTATAGAAATTTATTCATAGCACTCAGCAGTATAACCTTCATAGATATGCTGTGTTATTTTAGTTCCCCTGTAAATAAAAAGGAAAATAAAGTCAGGTTTTAACATTATAAATCTGAGTAATATGTATGTAGCTCCTCCCACTAATGACAACAAACTGAGGACTGGGATGCACCCTGAAAGTATTTATTTAATTATTATCTGTAAGATTCCCAAGCCGCCTCTTCTTGCAATGGCTCAAAATAATACCAGCCCCAGAGGCACAGTAATTTCAGTCCCGTCTTAAGGAATGGCATGAAAATAATCCTGCCCATTTCCTGCCTGACCACAGCAAGACTTTTGCAAACTGAATACTCTCACCCAAAATGTGATTGCTAAGGAACCCCGAGTTGTTTGTACTTCGGATCTAACCAAGTGCTCTGTGTGTAGAGAGACTCTGGGGAACCTTCTAACTTTGTCTGCTCCAGACAAAGGAGGGGGAGATACACAGCTCCTTGGTCCAAGGTCTGGACTAGCTAAATTCCACATTAAACAAATGGTCTAAACCAATCCTAACCATAACATTTACTAGATCCAAAACGCTTGGGAAAGCAGAAAATCAAATTAAAAGAATGCAATGATCCATGTATTAGACTGTAAAAGGAATCCCCATTAAGGTAAGCAGCTAGAAAACAGACTGTGGTAAGAAGGTTGCTGAGCAATATAGTCCAAGACTACTGTACCTGTTTTGTTCCCTGACTGGCTCACTGTAAGAAAAGGAAGGAAAAAACAAAACCTTGGTCAAAACATCTTTAAACAGACAATATTAACTTTTAAGGCATAAAACACGGCTTCAGGTCACACAATCTTATGGCTGTCTTTCCACTGGTCACTACCCATTTCCAAAGGAAACAGTTTACAAAGCTGTAGAATTTACTTTAGCTGTTTTGGAGGATTAGAGAACCAGCCCCTAAACCTTGTTCGATTTGTAGTGATGATCATCATTTGTGGCACAGCAGACAACAGAAAAGTGGTAGAACAGAATTATATGGGAAAAAAAAGGCAGCAGAATTTTGAAGGTAACAAAAAGCAGTCATAACTAACTTAGAAGTTGGCAATGGTTGAGTGAAGTGTTTGAAAAACAAATTCCCATGGCCAAGCTGTTTTTACAACTCAGAAAAAAAAAGGAGATATGGTGGTTTTTAATGTACAAGTCAACTGTAAAAGATGGGATGTCAGGGTGCTCTGCTAAGCTTGTTTTAGCATTCAAGTGGAGTAAAACTTTGATTTTAATCAACTGCTAGGGGATACTTGCTAAATACAAATTGAATTTTATACATGCAGAATGGCATTACACATGCATAAAGCTATGAATGGGTTCTGTCCACTGCAGTCAAAGTCAGCTAAACGTAAGCCCCGTAAATCAAGGGTTTTGTGGTATGTTAAGGATCAGAAATTAGATTTAGAATATGTGATGGCCAATTTGAAGCAGAGTGCCACAAATGGCTAATGACTAATACAGGCAGCAAGAATTTGATGTATGCTTGAGGGCCTGAGCTGTTATAACCTAGCCCTGGGCTCAGATTAATGGCTAGTTCTATAGTATTGCATTGATTGATTGATTTTTTATATACCCCACTCCAAAAGATTCTGGGTGGCTATAACAAATCAAATAATAAACAAACACATTCTTTTCTTTCGATTTCAGGCAAGTAAGTCAAAATAAGGCAGGGACACAATGCCTGCATACCACAATACATTGGATGCTCTCCTACTTGTCTTCTGATGTATAGAGCAAGAAAGGCTGTTGTTCCTAGAACAAAATACTGAGGAAACAGAAGTGGGTGAGAGGCTTACCAGACGTCACTCACTTCTCATCTTTTAATGATACAATCTGCTCCCCAAAAAATTGCATTTCAAGTCTTTACCAGTAATTCACAAGGAAAAAGAAGGAAAAAAAAATCTTTCTCATTCTATGAAAAGGAGAGAAATCTAGAGAATCAATTACCAACCCTTTTAATTATAATGAACTAATTCAAAGGGATCCTCAAAGTAATTTTTACAGAACCTCTGTTCAGCCTAAATATGAAATAAATACGAACACAGGTATTACAGTTCAGCCTAAATATGAAATAAATACGAACACAGGAACAAGCCTTATGTTCTCCATATTGAGTCTGTAGCACTTGTACCTGGAACTAAATGTGCACAAGACACAGGAACTCTGCTTCAAAGCGAAAACCCACGAACAGAGCAAGACCGCATCAGAAAGACAAGCGAGAGATATTCAGCTCATGCAATCACAGCCATGCTGATTCTCTGTACCTACCAAACACCTCATTTCTGATCAAGAAGAAATCCAAGAAAGTAGGAAAGAGAAGTGAAAGCAAACAGTTACTAACCAGAAGGAAGAATTTATTATTTAAAGCACCCCAGTCTAGCTGAATGAAAAGCTTGAAAACCACAGCCTTTGAAAGGAATTCAACACATTTAAATTAGGGGAGTGCAAAACATACTGGCCCAGGATGTTCTAATCCTAAAGAGGCTATTCCAGGATCTGAACATTATGTCATTGGTGCATAATAATACATAATGGTAGATTTGTACATCCCTCCTTAAATGCCAATTTTAGCCAGATTCTGTTAAAAGCTATTGCCTGTGTGTAACGCTTTCTCTATTTAAGCAAAATTATATTCAGCATAAATTTTCAATCTCATTAAATGCCAGTTAATGAGCATTTTGCTTTTGACCTGTCAACCGGTGCAGAGAAGGAATTATTTCTCAAATAAAAAATCTGAAAATAAAGCAGGATAGAATAAAGTAAGCTAATGGAGAACCAGGTGCAATGCAAGGAAAAGAGAAGGAAAGAGGAGACATGCTCTAAAAATTCTACGTTTCTATGGAAATTCTAGAGATCATACCCTTTTACAATTTCACTTTGTTAGCTACTAAACCAAAACAAAGTGAACGAATTCGGAATTACCTTCTACGAGCCAATGGTGAGAGATGGAAATTGGAAAAATATATAAATATATTGTCAATGAAATATATAAAGCAGCTACTATTGTATCTGATCAGCATTTTCATGGGTTGTCCTTACCTTCTTGCCAGCCCCCACATTTGCTTTTGCGGTACCTCTGACCTTCTTCATCCTATTCTTACGCTCTTTGCGCTGCTTCCTTGATGTCTTTTTCTTTTCATACAAGCCGTGCTGGTAAAGATAACAAGAATAAATGAACTGAACCGTACCAACATTTCTACGATCTTGAGAACGGTTACCACAGTTCATCCCTGAGCACCAAGGATTCCTCTTTGAGAACAGGCAGTGTTGCTCTGACATATTTAGCCAATGCCATATATACATTTGCGCTGCCAATTAATAGTACATTTAACTTGCACATCTACATTCCATTCTTCCTTTTTCAAGATTTAAAGGTTTATGCAGGATTTTTACAATTTACAGAAATGATGAGCCAATCCCTTAAAGAGATTACTTTTATGCGAACCGGCTCCCCAATTCCTAATCCACAATGAGCCGCTATTCAAACAGCCAACTCATGCAAGAAAACTTACTTTTTGAGGGCAAGTGACATTCTTCTAAACAAAGAACTAGACTGCAGCTAGCTAGCTACCATTTGTATTTTCAAGAGATACATTAAAGATAATACAAGCTAGTGCTTTCCAGCATACCACTTACTCTCCTGTTATAAACCATTTCTCACAAATCACTGGTAGCACCGAGATCCCAACAGCTTCAGAGCCATAAAAGCAAAGATCAAAAATCCAAGGAAAGGGGAACAAAACAAGAAAATCCAACCTTAATTTAGGAGCTCAGAAAAGAGGTTGTTTTTTGTTAAAGAAATGTGAAAGTTAGTGTTCATAGGCACATTGTTGATCACAGCCTCACAGTGGTAGAAATATTAAGCCTCTTTAAACATGCTAGGAAATCAACATTTTAATCGATATTTAATCAACCACTGAAAATGGAACTACAAGAGAAAGAGTGCATCTTAATTCCAAACTTCATAAACTGCTATGCAACCAGAACAAACATTCCTTTTAGCACAACACGGTCCATATTCCAAGAAAAGAGATAAAACAGCCTACCCTGGCCAGCCTATGCTTTGGTTCATTTTTCTTTGCATAGTCTAGAGAGTCATAGATCATGCCAAAGCCTGTGGTCTTCCCACCACCAAAGTGGGTCCTGAAGCCAAAGACAAAAATGACATCGGGTGTTGTCTTATACATTTTCGCCAACTTTTCACGGATTTCTGTTTTGGGTACAGTGGCTTTTCCAGGATGAAGAACATCAATTACCTACAAATACAGGGTTGACAAAACATTAAATAAATAAATTAAAAAATGAAAGGTTCTTTATGTATTGTGAAAAAAATATTTTAGTAGCAGAGATGGCTCATACACTCTTTAAAAAAATCTCAGCATCATGCTTGAAACATAGGCCAGAAACATGCCATGACTAAATCTTTATGCAAAGGGTATTTTCAGATTAAGGGCGGGTGGGCTTTTTGAGGGGGGGGGGTGTCTTTGGAAGAAAGACAGCAGCAGCAGCAGCTCTACCCACTACAATCTTCCATTAAATAGGTTTGTGACAAGCATCACATTTAGAAGGTCATGAGCTTATGACAGACAGTGATGCTGTGAAATCAATGAATTTACAATTGAGAAGTCATCCTCTTTTGTACATCTATACAGCAACTTTTGCTGGAATACAGCATATAGAATGGCCTCCCAATTGTCCCATCATTAAGCCACATTAACGGGGGGAGGAATCTATCAGTATAATGTGTTACATTTAAATCACTGTAATCCTCTTCTCGTCCTCTTTAGCCAGCCTTGCTTATCACTCACACAACAAAAAAGATCAACACGATAGCATTCTAAGAACTAGCTATATTTACAGTCGACATTTTAACGGTTTTTGTCGATGGTGCTGTGAAATGCCCGAGTCTGTACTGATCAGGTGGTATACAAATATAATAAATAATTGCATCTAAGAAAGCAAACCGACGAAGCTTCAGCTTGGAATCGAAGTTAGCCCACAAAATAAGGATCAAAACAGCATCTTACCATCTGCTTACGCTGAAGCAGCCGGTTTGTCATGAACTTCCTCGTTCTGATGGTTACTGTATCATTCTACAATGCAAAATATATTATTATTATTATTATTATTCAGGAACTCATCTAATTTGCCCCAGGACTAATCCCAACAATTCCTCCTTTCCAAACTGGCCCCAAAACAGGTGGCGTCCACAGCTATCAATCTGTGGAACTGCTGCAGTTGAAAAAGAGGGGCAATTTAGAAAGCCATTTTAGGGCATGGACCTGCTTTTCCCCAACCCGGTGCCCCTCAGGCTGGAAGGCAGCTCAGATCAATAGCTGGGCGGGGGGCAGGCTGGCCCGTGGCAAAGAAATGGGGAGAACGGGGGACCCACGGGGGAGCCCCGGGGTCAGCTTCTTCGCCCCCTTAGTTCCAGCCCATAATCCCCCTAAAATACTCAGGAGTGCGGGCGGAAGGGAAGACAGGCGCCCCAGAGGTCGTAGGACAGAGGATGGCGCCAGGGCCGGACGGATTGAAGGAGCCCCTCGGCCCCGAAAATCCGCAGCGCCGCCACTCACCATCTTGGCGGCTTCTCCTGCTGCCGGAAAGGGAGAAAAGAAGGAAGGAACGCTTGGTAGCCAATCATACGCCGGTAAGCAAAGGAAAAGGAAGCGCCCTAACGGAAGGGGAGGGATTTCGGTGTCAAGAGAGCTGGCCGTCGAAGGCGCCTTCCGGGAAACCAACGAGAGGACGGCAAGAGAGACATACGCATTAGTCCTCCAGGAGGTAGGCTACTGCGTAAGGATCACGGAGCTCTCCTTCGTAACCTACGTGGAGAAAGATGGAAGTAGGAATTCCTATGGGAGATCTTGTGGGGTGCATATGCCTTCCGACTGGGAGACGACCATGCTGGGAAGTGCAATTTAAGGCATAATCCACCCATCGCTTTGGCGGCCCATACCCGCCTGTAATGAATGAAGTATCTGCGGCAGCGGCCGAATGAAGCTCCGCATTTCCGGACATCAGCGGAGTCACGTCAACTGGATAGGGATGGGTTGTGGTCCGGACGGTGGATGAAGTGCTGCGCTTTTTGGTAAATCACGACTTCATAGCTGGAATTCAAAACACTCATCGGTATACAGCGTTCCACTTTCGTGCTCTTGCTAAGAAGAGCTGCACGGCCAGGTCCAGGAGATGAGCTCCGCTTGAGGCGTTACCTTCTATACAGTCTGTATATTTCCATATGTGCCGGATAGCTCCGTGTAGCCCAACTACTATGCCTGCATATTGTACCCAGAAGGTAAAATCTCCTTCAGGCGGAGCCAAGCTCCTGCTGGAAACGCAGACTAGATCCAGGCATTTTTCTTGCCAAGCACACGGTTTGCCAAAACTCTTCCTGGTCTGGCCCACAACTATGCAAATATTGTGCAGAAAACCAAGCATCAATGACTGAAAGGTCTTCCACCATCATGACCTACCCTTCATACCAGTGATCACAACTGACCGGGTCACTCTACTTTTCATTGTTTTCAGTTGCCCCTTTTACTTCTGACCTTTGGCTGTAATAAAGATCCATTCGTTCATTCTACCCTGGCATCTCCCGGTGGCTTCCTATCCAAATGCTAACCAGGTCCAACCCCCTACTTGATTTCTCGAGGTGACGAGGATCTGCCACTTGCTGACAGTCACCATTTGCCTGGTCGCCCACAATCTTCCTTGCTATTTTGTGCATAGACTTCCATCCCTACATACAGTTTATTTACCCAATTCTATACAGCTTCCCTACCTTTGTATTGTTGTGTAGTTATATGTTATATTATATATTATATATATTATCTATTTATCTATCGGATAGACTTCTCTATCTATCCATCATTCTGTCAAGAGACTTTCTGTTTCTCTATATCTCCATCAGTCAAGAGACTCCTTTATCTATTAAGAGTCTATCTATCTATTACTTTTTAATTATCATTTATCTATCCATCCTCTATCCACCTTCTATCTATTGACTATCTGTGCTTCCATCTATCAAGAGTTTCTATCTCTCTCTCTCTCTTTATCTGTCAATCAATCAGTCAAGAGACTCCTTTATCTATCAAGAGTCTATCAGTTTTTAACTGTCATCCATCTATCTATCCATCTAGCCACCTTCGATCGATCTGCCTGTCTATCAAGAGACTCCTCCCGCCCTCACCCTCAGCACTTCCGGCTTTCCCGGGGCTGCCCGTCGCCCTGCGCATGACGTTGCCGGGGAAGCGACGGCGGTAGCTCTGCTTGGTGACGTCACCCCGGTGCGCCGCCAGCCGGCGCGGACGCCTCTTCTCGGCTGGGCTCGATTTGCAGCCGCGTCTGCTCGCCTTCCTCGCTGAGGGCTGGCCGGCGCCATGGTGAAGCAGCAGTTCCGCGAGACGGACGTGGCGAAGAAGATGTGAGGGCCGGGGAGGCCGGTCTGGGGCGGGGGTGTTTGTGTGCGCACGTGGGGGAAGACTTGCCCTTCCAGGCTGGGGAAGCTGTGAGCCAGAGGTCCGATGGCTGAGGCCAAGAGTCTCCTCGATTTTGTCTTCTCTGGAAGAGCATTTCTCCTTGCGTTTATAAGCATGCTTCCCTTTTTGGACACCCCCCCCCCCCAAAACACCCCAAAAGGCGTCGCCAGATATGCGAAATTATGCTTCGTGGGGGAGTTCTGCAGGGGCGATGCAAATTCAGAAATCCACAGGTTCAGGCGGGCGTATCTCGTGCTGGATTGCCGTGGCACATCAGCCTCAGTAAATCTGTCAGAAATAAATCAGTATAGCCTATCGATGTGGTCGCTCGGAGTCAAAACAACTTGATGGCACATAGTCAAAGTATAACATAAGTATGCCCGGGTGTACATGATTTCTAAATTTATTTTCTTTCAGACAGTGACCTCCTGCTGCAGACTGTGCGCATGTAGAACATTTCTAGGCATTTCTTTAAAAGAGGCATCACCAAATTTAGAGAGGTGGGAAAAAATGGTGCTTCATGCCAGGTCCAAGAGGCATGGAGCAGATTCAGCAGTCTAGTGAATCTTCAGACACATGTTGACATTTGTGTGGATTTCTGAGTTTAATTTCCCTCACACCTCTCATTGTAGAATGTGCACCTGTAACATTTGAATACTGTTTTGGGTCTGAGTGTCTTGTCTTTTTGAATTGCCTGCTGAGCCAGTGCCAGGCTAATCGAGGCTGCTCAGCACATGATGCCGAGAATCACATAAGCTATCAGTCTGACAAAGAAATGTTGCTTTTTGAGAACTTTTCCTTAATACTGCTGACATGTAAAATTTCTGTGGCTGCTTTTAATTCTTCCTTTTGAATATCATAAGACGCAACAAATTAATGTTGATATTCATTTTGGGTTATAAAAGGGTGGCATGTTTTCAATAACAGGTTAGCAAGTTTTCAACTGAATTAACAGCTGGGACTTTTAGTTAAGGTTATACTTGCTTTAAGGCTAGTTTTATTTCATGTGTGTTACTATAGAACAAATTTCTCCAGAGTGCTCAATATTAAACCCCCGAGGGTTGATGGGACTACCCAAGGGGTCAGTGTTATTATTCATAGTACTATTAAAGTAGTATTTATTAAATTATTTTCATCTAATAAGTGTTTGGGGGTCGATGAACAATCTGAAATTTCATGAAGGGGTCAATGAGCTAAAGAGTTCTGGGACTCCTGCTGTAGAACAACAAATTGATGGAGAAAGACTGAAGAGGAAATTTGGGGTGGTAGTTGCACTGATTTAGGAAAATAAAGAGACCAGATTCAAGTCTACCAGCCATGAAAACTCACTGAGTTCCCCTTTGGCTGGCTACTCTCTCTCATCCCCACTTACTTTACAAGATTATTGCTGTAGAAATAAAATTGGAGGCAGGTGTGCTATGTATATTGCTCCTGGAAAACACATGGGTTCTACATCTAACAAATAGTCAAAGGAGGGATGCAAGGCCTGATCAAGCAGTCTGGAAGTTCAGTTGGAGAGTTCTCTATATTAAAGGCAGAAGATGCTCAAAAAAAAAAAGTTTGTTAGGAAGTTCCTGCACGGAAAGCAATGGAACTTTAAGGATGTATACAGTATATTAAAACAATTGTATCACCAGGTGAATTGAATTCTAGAAAGGGTGAACTGAATTATAGTACTAGAAAATCAGTGGTAGATGTCAGAGCTATTCAGTGGTACTCTGCTTTCTATCATACTGATAAAAGGTGCCGTATTAATAATAGATTATTAATAGCATGGCAAATGGTATCCATTGATCACTAATGAAGGAGCTTCTGGAATCAAAGTACACTCCTTAGAAAACTCTTTTTTTCATAGGTTATGTATGAGTAGACTCCCCCCACCCTTAATCTATGCATGATTCTTGCTCATCCCAAAATCTGACAAATTAAGACACCAAGAGCAAGCTTTAACTCAAGAATTTTATTGCGTGTATAAAAGATAACTTATTTTGAGATTCAAAATGGAAAATAAAAACTTGTTTCACCTTGTTTTTAATCAACTTTTGAGCTTTTAGTCTTATTCACTAAAAACAGCCAAATAAGATTTCAGGATATGCTTAACAGAAAAGTTTTGGTGGATATTACAGATTGGAATAGACCATATGGAAGAATTAAGTATCTTCTTTTAGTTGCATTCATAGCTTTACACATTAAGGGCAGGATTGTAAATTATACCTAGAAGGCTATCAGGTATAACATAAAAGGTTTGCACCGAGTTTTTGGAATTTTTTTACCTGTTGGTAGAAGCACTCCATTCTGCATGACCTGCGATTTGAAAATAGTCACCAAGGTATCTCTATTTTAGGATATTCTGTGGTGTCTTTCTGTTCTAGAAGCCACATCTGCTTTGGGATGAAGTCTCCTGAAGAAATGCGGCAGCAGGCTCACATCCAGGTGGTTAGTAAAAATTTGTACAGCCAGGATAACAACCACTCTCCTCTTCTGTATGGTGTATTGGATCACCGCATGGTAAGCCTTTTAGGTGCTCAGTCTGATTTAAGCATATGAAAAGCTACATCCAGGGAGTAAATATCCGAAGAGTTTCAGAATAAATCAGTTCATGGTAAACTAAAACCTACAACTTACTCTGCTGATTGGAACTGGGAAATCAAAATAGAGAGAAAGGGTAAAATTTGTCTCATGTGGCTGTTGAGATTAAAGTATTCATCTTCATCCACTCTTTTTATTCTTTTATCCATTTCTACACCCAAGGGTACAAGTGAAAAGGATCGTCCATGTGAAACCTGTGGAAAAAATTTGGCAGAATGTTTGGGGCATTATGGCTACATTGACCTGGAGCTACCTTGTTTTCATGTGGGGTACTTCAAAGCTGTGATAGGCATTCTCCAGGTAAGGTCAGGTCAGAAACTGTAGCAGAAGCATTTTTCATTTGAGCAGCAAACTGGTTCTCTCTCTTAGCCCTAATGTTTCTTTCTGTATCCATCTTCAATATGTGAAAGAGAAATACTGAGATTAAATTTCATATTTGTTGCAAGGAAGGTTGTGAACTGCTTTGAATACTTTCAGATTGCTGACCTGCATACACTTGCTTGAAAAAATTCCTATGAAACTTAGGGGAAATTACATCGGATAAAACATGCACATGCTCAGATCTCTTAGTGATATGCTATATCAAGACTACTGTTCTGTATCATATCAATAAAATTTTATATTAAATAAAAATATTTTGTAAATTATTAATATTCACTAAGATTAATGAAATCTTTAGTAGGTCTGGAGTTTTCTCCAAATATTTGTAGGTATTTAGAAATAAGTTTTGTTTAGAGCTTTTGCCATTTCCTGAGAAATGAATGGCAAGGAACTCAATTCAGCCTTTTGCTTTGCCCAAAGTTATCTGTATGTGTTTATCAAAGGCAAAAGGTTAATTGTATCTTTTGCTATTGGAAAGCGAAGTTTTAAGATTTTCTACTTCTTTTTTAGATGATTTGCAAGACTTGTTGCCGTATCTTGCTAACCTCTGAAGAACAGAAACAATTTTTGGATTATCTGAAGAGACCCGGGTTGACCTATCTCCAGAAAAGAGGCTTGAAAAAAAAGGTCTCTGAAAAGTGTAGGAAGAAGAACACCTGCCCACATTGTGGTGCTTTCAATGGTAAATGCAACAAACTAGGTTTGGTTCTAAACCCCTTCGACACCTTGACCAGTCAATTGGAATTTACGTGTGTCTTTTAGTTTGTGTTGCTCAGTGGAGGTCAGCAGATAAACCTAGGGAAAATATAAATAAATAAATATAATAAGATAAAGCTAGGGAAGCTTGTCAGATTCAGGCTGGGAACCTTTCAAAAGCATCCTTGGAAGAAAAGCTGGGAAAGCTTACAGTTGCATTACCTTTGGCTAACATCAACCTTTCAAGCAACTCAATTCCGTAAATTTTATTTCTCTCTTTTCCTTTTATCATTCTAGCAGTTGGGTGACCTTGGCGGGTGAGAGATTGTGATTGACCTAGGATAATCTTTGTGGTTCTGGTGTATGTCCAATGTATTAAGAGATCATAATGTAATAGTTGAATATATGGTTCACAGATGGAAGCTTATATATTTTAAGCAAGCTATAATGGAAGTGGGTGTACATGAAATTGTTTTAAAGTCCATATATTATTATTTCTTACCCTTCAAATGCTTCTGCATCTTCAGGCAAGAGGTCATTTTTAACAGTATGGGGATTTGCGAGGTTGTTTGTTTGGTACCTTTGAGTCAGTCCTGATAAGTCCCTGCAGTTTTCTTGGCAACATTGTTCAGAAGTGGTTTGCCCTTGCCTCCTTCTTCCTAAGGCTGAGAGAGAGGGACTGGCCCAAAGCCACCCAGCTGGCTTCCGCAGTGTCCTTAACCATCTCACCACACTGGCTGTCTTGCAGAGTAATGGTCCTCTTGAATATTAGCATTCCCACTGTGACTGTTCAATTCTAATAAAAGTCTAATATTTTTATTCTCGGCAAAACTAAACTTGAACTGAACATGCTCATTCTTTTCATATTGGAAATCAGAGTACAATGGTACCTCGGGTCACGAACGCTTCTGTTCACGACCAATTCGGGTCACGAACAGCACCGTTCGCAAAATTTTGCTTCCGTCCGCGAACTCCGCATCAGGTGATGAACAGGATCCGCGGCCATTTTCCCTGCCGTGACACATGGTCGTGGCTTCCTGTAGGGAGGGGGACTCTCCCTCCAAGCAATAACCGCCTCCCCACCCGCCTTCCTGTCCTTCACGCCAGAAGTCGCCTCGAGCAAGGTTAGCGTTCTCTCTCTTCGTACTGCACTGCACTGCACTGTATTTTGTTTCATATTTTTGTGGTTTTTTAAAAAAAAAATACATATGGTTCAGAACGGATTAACCATAATTACATTGAACCTTATGGGAAAATTTGATTCGGGACATGATCAAAATCGGTTGGCGACCAAATTTGGAGGGGTCAGAACGGATTAACCGTATTTACATTGAACCTTATGGGAAAATTTGATTCGGGACATGATCAAAATCGGTTGGCGACCAAATTTGGAGGGGTCAGAACGGATTAACCGTATTTACATTGAACCTTATGGGAAAATTTGATTCGGGACATGATCAAAATCGGTTGGCGACCAAATTTGGAGGGGTCAGAACGGATTAACCGTATTTACATTGAACCTTATGGGAAAATTTGATTCGGGACATGATCAAAATCGGTTGGCGACCAAATTTGGAGGGGTCAGAACGGATTAACCGTATTTACATTGAACCTTATGGGAAAATTTGATTTGGGTCGTGACCAATTCAGGTCAATTAAGTTCGTGACCCAAGGTACCACTGTATCTGCATCATCACTTACATATTTTTGGTGGTATCTCTCCAGAACTCCTTATGGCAGAAGACCCTTTTGTTACTATTTGTGCTAAGCAGCAAGTGCTGTTAAAGAGCCGATTAATATAAGCTTTGTTTGCAACTGTGTTATCTTGTAGGTACTGTAAAGAAGTGTGGCTTGCTAAAGATAATCCATGAGAAGTATAAGACCACCAAAAAGATAGTGGATCCCATTGTGTCTAACTTCATTCAGTCTTTTGACACTGCGATAGAACATAACAAAGAGATTGAGTCCTTACTGGGAAAAGCCCAGGTGAGTCAAAAACATATTGAACCACATGTTAGCTCAGTGTGGTCTTCTTTTATAATAATCAAGGTTTCTGTTGGAGTGAGACTATCATGGATGTTTATGTGTCTGTGCATTACTGAGAGTAAATTATCCGAATCTTTTTTTTTTTTTTTTTGGTAGGATTAGGCAGAGTAGCATCTTATCCTTACACAACTTAAAATGACTGTTTCACTCTCATTGAATGTTTGGATTGTGTGCGTGGTATTAGATTAAAGTTGGGCAATTACGTCTGGAGAACGTCTCCGTTTCCCTTTTGGGTGACAAGTCAGGGAATGCAGTCAAGAAAAAATGGATGGAAACTTCAGAAAAGGGAATTACAGACTTTAAAGAATAACACTACAAACTTTAAAACTGTATTGTGAATTTCAGTGGCAAGATGCAGCATCAAATTTCAACAGATCAGTGTTCCTTGAGAGCCACATAATGACATTATGAGGAGACTCTGTGGAAAACTCACCCCGAAGTTACAAGCTGTTCCATTTTAGAAAACTTGGATAAGAAGAGCTTAGTTTCAGAGATTTTAGATTCAGAATTTGTGGTTAGTTGTTTCTAAAGTAATTTGTCTAAATTGTTGGGGCATTTCTGTTGCACATAAATCTTTGTCATGTTTATATAATGATAAGCAGGGTGTTGACAAAAAGCTGGCAATGCTTATTTTTGAGAGGGAAAGTGACATATTAATGGTGTTCTTGGGAAAAAAAGAAACAATAATATATCTCTAGAAACAGTTATAAGATGTCCTGATATAACTGGACCATAGCTTGAGGAGCTGAACATTTATTTTCCCTGTAGGTGCTCTTTGAAAAATTAGACAAGAGCAATTGCTTTAAAGCTGTTGTTTCACTGAAGAAAAGCATCATAAGCCTCCAATTTATGTCTCCCTGTTGATTGCACGGCCTGCCTGCTTCATGTGCTGAAAACTCTTGCAACTGGCCATCAAGTAAAGCCTTCATATGCCTATAATCAGCACTTGGGGTTCTTCAAAGTCTGGGTAGTGCCCTAATGGCAGTTGCTAACACAGACAACTCTTGTGAATGGTTACCTTGGAGTGCAAATGAAACAGGGGAGTAAGGAGGTTATATTATTAAGACTATATCCAATACGTTCTTCCTTGTAGCTTTAAAGCTATGGGACAGATCAGTAGCTACTAACATATAGGGTGATTCAGTAAAAACATGTGACCCTACTGTTTTGAAACCTACAGGAGAACTTGAATCCCTTAGTGGTTTTAAACATCTTAAAGAGAATTCCTGCAGAAGACATTCCCCTCCTTCTGATGAACCCTGAATCAGGGAAGCCTTCTGACTTGATCCTGACTCGCCTCTTAGTTCCCCCACTGTGCATTCGGCCATCTGTGGTCAGCGACTTGAAATCTGGCACCAACGAGGACGATTTAACGATGAAGCTGACAGAAATCATTTTCCTTAATGATGTGATCAAAAAGGTAGCTTCGCTGTTTGCTTCTTTTAGCTACAGAGGGATGAAGGGGGAGGAAAATGGGGGAAAGGTGTTTTTTTCCTTTCAATTTTTTGGCTTTTATCTCTCTTTTTTCCTGAAAATTTGAAAAAAAACCCCACTCCATTTTGTTTCCTTGCTAAATGATATCTAAATGATAAAGAAAGTTGGTCATATATTACAACACACATTTTACCCTTCCCCCTTAAAAATATGATTTGTAAAAACTGTAATAGGAAAGCTTTTATTTAAGGCTGTTTAAGTATCAGGTCATTCCAGTTATTGTGCAGAATGTGCTAACTGTAGAGTGCAAATTTTGTTATATGCAATTTAACTTTACCTATTTTACTGTTTCAAGTGAAATTAAATCTACATAGGGCGAAATGAGCAATCCAAGCAAAAGACCACAGTATATTATTGTTTACTTTTTTAGCACTTTCTGTAGTTAAAGAATAGAAAGAGCTGGATGAAGAAATGAACCAGATGGCAACAAATATGAAATACAAGCAGAATTCCTTATAATCTTAAATTCTTTACATTCATAATCTTACGTTCATATTTAATGTAGTTTGGACACTTATCCCCAAATAAGCATGAAAGGGGGTAGAATACGTGCAGAAGTTGTCCCATGTTTGCTCCTAGAGTCTTTTCTTGGGTTGGTCAACTCCCCCCAGCTGTCTCTGCTATTATATCTCTCTATCTATCTATCTATCTATCTATCTATCTATCTATCTATCTATCTATCTTTGAAATTATATTTGTTTCCTCCTGAAGGCCTTGTGAGATTCTTTGTCTTTGTGTAAGTGTTTCCTGAAAGAAAGTTTTCTCAGTTTGTTGTTAAAGACTTGTTGGGATTGCAAGAATCTGGAGTTCTATTAATTGAAAAATGTTGTCTTTTTTCACAACTTGTCAAGACTGTTCTTTGCTCATAATATATTCAGTCAAAACATACCTTATTGATTTAAGCTATTTTCCTGTATTATTAACTCTGTGTGTGTGTGTGTGTGTTTGTGTAAATACACAGTTTTTGCCCAATTCTAATACTAATTGTGTTTCCATCTGTTGATTCTACCTGTCCCGTGTTGTTTTGTGTATCTGATGATATTCTTGGCTTCTTTTTTTTTTAACCTTACTTTGCTAAATTTAGCCATTGCTAAATTTCTACTCATTCTTCATTTTACTATATCGGGGTCAGACTGATATTCCACACCATCCTAGGATATCCTGGCATGTATACTAATTTATTACTTTGGTTTCCTTGTACGTGAGTGGTCTGGTTACAATTAATGGAGAAGGGCCTCTTATTTGGCCCTATAGGGGCTAAGAAAGTTGAATTTCCTTCCTACTGAAAGCCATGATTTCCTGAAGTTCCACTGATAACTTCTTCCATTGATTTCATTGTGTCTTAATTTGGATCCAACGCTGTAACGTTTCAGATATATTTGAAAGTACTGTGTTTGAAATGAGCAGGCATTTGTTTAACAAGCCACAATTTATCATTGCTTGGCCATGACCTTTAGCAATAAAATACGTTCTCTTAAGCACTCCATGAGCCCCGTTCTTTAAAAATGTGAAGTTCTTTGTGTTGCAAACCAACTGGTTTTTGTTTGTTTCGTTTTATTTTGTTTCGGTTGGTTTTTGTTTGTTCAGCATAGAATATCAGGAGCCAAAACTCAGATGATAATGGAAGACTGGGATTTTCTGCAGCTACAGTGTGCCCTATATATTAACAGTGAACTTTCCGGCATTCCCCTCAACATGGCCCCCAAGAAGTGGACAAGAGGCTTTGTTCAAAGACTCAAGGGAAAGCAAGGTTTGTGTTTCATTTGTCTCCATCATTGTGGCCCCACTGTAAGGGATTCAGCTGCCTTAAGCAAATTAGGCAAACTTTGTCTAAACACGGAGTCTCATTGTCATCCCTCTGGTTACCCTGATGCCCGTGCATATTATTGGCCTTCCGGATTGAAAACAATAAGGACTGTGTTTCAGCAGTACCCTGACTTCTCTTAACCAACAGCAGTTGTCCTCAGAGGCCCAGTCAAAGATTTGCAAATTGGAAACTACCCTCTTTCCTCAGTGCCTGGATTTGTATCAGAAGTCTATTTCCATGAGAAAATTGGTAGTACCATTAGTATGTTTCATCCAGCTGGGGGTGCAGGACTTTTTCTTCTTTCAGATACCTCCCATCTGTATGCCAAAACCCCCCGTTTTTTAATCATATTTTCATCTATACAATAAGGATAAATACTTAGTCATCCTCTCTTATCCTGGCTTCTACCCAGCTGTTGCTTTTTCCTGTGTCAGCTTAAGTTATTTAATTTATAAAGGTGAAGGCTTTGCAAAGTGTCTTAGGTCAAACAAAGCATCCCTTCCTGCCAGCGTAAAAGCAGCCGTGTCCATTGGAAGGATCACACAGCTAATTTGAAGGCTTCATTTTAATGGCAGCCTTAGTGTAAGCATCTGTGGATCATGCTGCATAATCTTGTGCTAACTTGAATGTTTAGCATGTAATCTTGGGGCAAGGATGCATCTTGCTTGCAACCCTGGAAGGTATATGTACACTAATACAGAATTTCAAGCATTCTCTCGTTTTTTAAATGAAACATCAGTCAGTTTTATTTCACCAAGTTCAACTTACTCTCCCTCTCCCCCCCCCCTTTTTTTAAGGTCGATTTAGGGGAAACTTGTCTGGAAAGCGAGTCGATTTCTCAGGCAGAACCGTTATCTCTCCTGACCCAAACCTGCGAATTGACGAAGTGGCTGTACCTGTTCATGTGGCAAAGATTCTTACCTTTCCTGAGAAGGTAGCGAGGATGAGTTCTTCTCTTTTTCCCTATGTGGTGTGGCCCTTTCGTATAGAAGCCCTCAGGTTGTCTCTCCAAGATGCCCTCAACAAGAGATTTCAAACTTAGTTCAAATCATCTGGTTGGGTAAAATCCACATGGAGCTAAGAGAGATGGAGACATGGAGATTTGGGGTGAGAACAGTCTTACAGGGGAATGGCTCATTACTGTCAAGCCTCTCATTCCATCTAGAAAACTCAAGAGGAGCTCTCATTGCTCTTCAGTATTTCATGGCACTTGTGTAACTTTTTGTATGGACTGGAAATTCTTCACAGTGCTCACTCAACTGCAACCCAACAGGACTAAAAAAAAAAAAAAAGCCAGAATGGTAATATTTGGAATGGTGGGGAGCATTATGGTAGTTCCTGTTCCAGGAGTGTGGCGATGAGGAGGAGGAGGAGGATATATTAAGCTTGACATATGTATTAAATTTGATGTAATATTGACATATTTATCATATTTTACCAACTCTCAGTACATTTTCCATACATCCTGTTATTTAAGTCATTGTAAAGGTTTGCTTTTCCAGTAGTCTCTATACTCTGGACTAGTCCCCACACTCTGGACGTTTGGAGGAGTGTTTCCTTTCAGTCTGCTCTTCCTGCTACAGGTAAACAAAGCCAACATTGGCTTTATGAGGAAACTTGTTCGGAATGGTCCAGAGGTTCATCCTGGTGCCAACTTCATTCAGCAGAGGCATACACAAATGAAACGGTACGGTCTTTGATCATAAATGGCATTTTTCTACTTTACTTCCCTTGATCCTGCAATTTCAGTTCTTGCTTCAAGCATACATATCTCTAGAGTCTCAAACATAACTCAGAAAGATCTGGATGGTTTCTTCCTGTCAGTTTTATTTCACTTACTTTTGCTAAAGTCCTTCTGTTTTGAATGTAGGCAAAATTAACTCCTTTAAACATACTTGTCATGGAAAGTGTAAAAACTTTAGAAATGTGGATTCCATTTCAGCTGCTAGAAGCTTGTACAATTCTAATTTAATTTAATTTAATTAATTTTACAATTGAAAATGATAATATTGCTGATCAGCAAAGTGTATTACTCTTTCTTTCCTTGAACAATTGAGGAGTGTAATGCCTGTACTGCAACCTTTAATTGGTTAGATGAATAGCAAGTTTTAGGGGAATCCAAGGTATAAGGGCCAGGTTTTTTTGGGTGGTGGTGGTTAGAAGAGGTATTCATTTCAATAAAATGCTCTACTTATATTGCAATTTTCCTGCTATTACAAAATGCTGTTCTTACGCAGGAGGGAATATCTTTCCTGAGAGGTTCCGTGTAACACCCGGCAGCTTCTAAAACCAAAGCAGATAGGCATTTTTGTCCTTCAAAATATTTAAGTGCAAGTGTGAATCAACTTCTGTGTTTTCTTTCTCTGTCCCTGCCCCTACTTAGGTTTTTGAAATACGGAAACCGTGAGAAGATGGCTCAGGAGCTGAAGTACGGTGACATTGTAGAGAGACACCTTATAGATGGAGACATAGTCTTGTTTAACCGACAGCCCTCTTTGCACAAGCTCAGCATCATGGCACATATAGTAAGAACAAAAATATCTTAGGTTCCTCATTGTTTCATGGTCTTCGGACTTCTCTGCAAGATACAATAGGTTTTAGTAAGAGAATGAGAAGGCTGGGGGAGAATGAGCGTTGTCTGTCAAACTTCAAATACAATCTGGGCATTTGGCTTTGTGACTCTTCTGGGAACCAAGTAGCACACAAATATTTTAATACCAGTAATGTACTAAATAGGTAACTATTCCATAGTTTTTGTAGAAAAAAGAGCCAAACCTAAACTGGCAAGGAAAAAGCTGAAATTCTAACAAGCATTTGAGTCCGGCTGCAGGTACAAACCAAAAGGCCAGTGTACTTAACTTTAAACTGCAGAAGAGGAAATTAATTTTACAATATTCCGCCTGTTTTGTTTTTTTTAAGTCCAAAATTGGTTTCTAGCCCAGTTTTAACTTGCAGGGATTCTTTTATGAGGGGGAGCTTTCAAATATGCCATTGATTATTCACATTCTAAAATGTTCAGATGGGATAGAAAGCACTTCCAGGAGGCCAACAGTTGCTACGGGATTCAGCAGCAACATCTATAGGCTGTAGGTTTCTCATTTATGTTCCAGCTCCTCATTTTGCTGCTATCTATAAATCCAGTCTGTATTTGGAATAACTAGGTTTTTCTATAATTTCCCCCCAAGGTAGTTTATTGTGTATGAGTCTAGGTAGCCTTCTAACATAATACTCTATCCTGTTGAGCTTTTGGGTGAAGCTGTGGCTTATAGAGTTAAAGAACTTTAAATAGCTACACTATGTTTTCATTTTAAGTAGGCATGTGCAAAACCTTCTCTGAAACATTCCACTTCTGTTCCTGTTCATGTTGATCTGGCGGTTCCATGCATGCTTCAGTAGTTTTCCAGGTGTTACTGTTCTGAACCTGAAGTGGTTTGTGGTGTTCTGGATTTCTGGGTGAAATGGGGAACATCCAGAACATCATGAAGCACTTCTGGTTTAGCAATAGAAGCAAATACGTGTAGCTCAGGGTTGAACTGTGGAGTCCTTGGGGTTCTCTGAGCTTAACAACCAAGCTCAGAGAACTCCAAGGACTCCACTTCTGGTTTAAGAAAACCATCAGAGCATCCCTGGAATGGCTGGATTGATGCAGTCTAGAGGAGAAACAGATCGTTCTGTTCCAGAATAGTAGGCTTTACACATGGCTAGTTTTAAGCCCACAGCATTGTCTGCAAAGTTGTGTTCCAGAGCAAATATGTCAATCTCTTTTTGTTAAAAGAAACCTATTCAAAAACAGGCATACATTTCCCATTATCACCACTGGCATATTTTGAAATCCTTGGGTATTTGTTCTCTTTCATACTTTGGTTTGATGATGTGTTTCAGGCTAGAGTAAAGCCGCACCGGACTTTCAGGTTCAATGAGTGTGTTTGCACACCATACAATGCTGATTTTGATGGCGATGAGATGAATCTCCATCTTCCTCAGACCGAAGAAGCCAAAGCCGAAGCACTTGTCCTGATGGGGGTAAGCAGACCTCTATTCCCACTGGTGGGTGTGGTGAGATTGACTGAGAGGCTGCTGTTGAATTCCCCTTGTTAGTTACAGCCTTCATAAGCAGAAGTTTTTTTCAGTGGTGCAAAGTTATCTGCAGGATTGCATCCTCCCACTGGAATCAGGCCAGCCACTTTGATCTACCCAGGAGAAACTAGTAGTGATTCCCTGCATTAGGGAGGTGAGGGGGACAGAGGCTCGGGGGCACTGCTTTTCAGTGGCCATGCTGGTTCTGTGGAACAGTCTCCCGGTGGACATCCAGTGGATTCCTACCTTGACTGACTTTCAAGCTGAGCTCTTTTAGAGGGCGTTAGGGCCATGATTCTATCTTGAACACGTTATTGTTTTACTTTGTTATTTAATTTTATGCCATGTTTTTAATTGCTTTTTTTTTTTTCCTGCTTAGAGATACTGTTTGCAGTATCTTTTTGGAGCTCTGTAATATTCTTTTTATTATGCACTCTGAAACTACCTTGCTGATCACTCCAACCCCAATTAAATTTTAAGCTAGTTAAGTCCACCAGTTCCAATGCAGGTCCTTGATGGATATACTATCCCACCTTTCTTATTTTTATAAGTAACTCAAGACGGCGAACATACCTAATACTCCTTCCTCCTCCTAATTTCCCCACAACAACAACCCTGTGAGGTGGGTTGGGCTGAGAGAGAGGGACTGGCCCAAAGTCACCCAGCTGTTTTTCATGCCTAAGGCGGGACTAGGACTCACTGTCTCCTGCTTTCTAGCCTGGGAATTTCACCACAAGAAGCATTTTGCTCATTTGGCTAGTTCATTGGAAAAACCGTCCACTTTGTTGGTGCCTGTGCTTGCTATTAATCAGATTCTGAACCAAGAAGGCGCCCTTCCTGTTATCCCATGGCTGCTGTTCCTTCAGGTGAAGGATTTTGTCACTATTTTTTCCCCTTTTTGCTTTATTTTATTTTTGAAGCCTGAATATGCAGTTTCTAGCAGTTCACTACCATCTATATATTTTTAGTGCTCTCCATATCTAAATAATTAGTGAAGCAAGACTTAATTGGTCATTCTTTAGCAAGGCTTGTTCTTGGGTACACTTGGTGTTAATTTGTTACAGTAATACTTTCCACCATCTACTCAAAACCAACATTAAGTGCCCCCTCTCTCAACCTTTCCAGGATCCATTTCTTTACATTTGCCTTGTCAAAGAGCTAGTTCAGACACTGATACCTGCCCCAAATTCTCTGCAGTGACGATAGAGGCAAACACGTCATTAAGCTCACCTGCCCCTTCCTGAATCTTCTTTAGCATATATTTGATGCTCCTGTTGTCTAACAGTCCAACTTGCTGATTTTTGTTTAACTAAGTTTATGGTTCTTTGCTCTTGTTTGGGGAAGATTTCAGTTGGTTCAAGAAAGCCTGAGATTTCTGTAAAGGCTATGTACTCCAAACTCCCCCTTTCAACTTCCTTATTACTGATTTTTTTCATTTTGGAGAAGCTTGAAATATAAAACTTATTAGAGAGAAATACCCATTGGGATTAATTTTGAGTAAACTCACATACTGTTTTGCTGTCAACAATCTAAACCAGTGTTTCTCAGCCTTGGCAGCTTTAAGAAGTGTGAACCTCAACTCCCGTGCTGGCTAGGAAATTCTGGGAATTAAAGTCTATGTGTCTTAAAACTGCAGAGGTTGAGAAATACTGATCTGAATTATTTATCTTCAGTACTGGAAAGCAGTGTAATAGGATTTGATGCTCTTATGTGCACCGAAAAGAAGGATATGTAAAAAGTGTCATGGCTTAAATGTATGACCATGTATTTAAACACATTACAACAACTTTATCTTACAGCATGTACTTGAACCATGAAAGTTAAATAATTAATTACAAATGTGAAGATATGCAACATGCTATTAAGTGATCTAATTTCTTTTCTGGGAGGAAGACCAATATAGAAATAAAATATTTTCTTTTCTCAGACCAAAGCAAACTTGGTAACACCGAGGAATGGAGAGCCCCTTATTGCTGCAATTCAGGATTTTCTAACAGGTGTGTATTTGAAGTCGTATTATCAATTGTAAATGCATTTTATTAACTTCAGAAGAGTCTTGGATGTGTCTTTGTAGAAATGTGGGATGTAGCAGGAACAGGGGAATGCATCTTGCTGCATTAGAGATCTGTACTGAACTGATTGTTATGTGCAGGAACTCTGATGCTGCAATACTTGTAGCCTTTCAGTTACAAGTTAACAGAGAACATTTTGGGGAATGAAGATAGCGATGTAGGACCCCCTTATTGCAGTCATTATTCCAAAAGGAAATACTTCATTAGAGGCTATTTTAGTCTTTCCAAATGTTCTCATTTTTTCCAGTGTTTTGGAAAACAATGCAAAAAAATGGCTTGAGGGGAAAAATAGAAACAAATTTTCCTTTTTTCTTAATTTTTTTTCCCCTACCTGAGCCTTCTAGGGACTTACTGTTAGATCAATGCTTTTTTTTTTTTTTTTTGCTCATGATTAAAATAACTTTTCCTCCTAAACTAAGAAATTAATACAATGTCACTTTTTTTTTCCTATTGACTGGTACTGAGGTATGTCTGAAATAGTTATATACAAACTGCAGGACTGATCAACTTTTTCTGCAAATCTTTCCCTAAAAATGACTGCTTTTGACACAGCCTTAACAGCTTTATTAAGATGAAAGAAAATTTGTATATATAAAGAAGGAAAGTGCCAAGGAATAAAATATTTTTCTTCTTTTTAATAATTGTTTTGCCTTTTTATCTTATCATATACATTATCTTTGTTAAATAAATCTATATACTCTTTATTTTATTTTATTTTTTTGCATCTGTGCCTATTCTGCAAAATGTCGTTGTATGAAAACTTGATAGCTGTAAAATGCACATCGCTTAATGCTTTTTTTTCTCTTCCATTGCACAACGTTCATTTTTTACTTTATATTTTAGGTGCTTATCTCCTCACACTGAAGGACACTTTCTTTGACCGAGCAAAAGCATGTCAGCTGATTGCCTCTATTCTGGTTGGCAAGGATGAAAAAATTAAAGTTCGCCTCCCACCTCCAGCAATTCTTAAGGTATCGCTGTCAGAGAGAGAGAAGGCTTGAGTTCCGGAACTGATCACTAGTGTTTTCTGGAATGGGCTCATTGCTTTTTTACAGGCATAGATCAGCAGGATTCATTGAGGCTGCTGTGCCGTGAATCAAAATGAATTTTTGAAGGGGAAGATGCTCTTCGGTTTGAGGCTCCTTCTTTATAATAAATCAGATTGCAATAAATAAAGCAGAGTGAAATACGGGAGAAACTTCATTTTAACAACTAGTTGGGGGAGGAGATGCCTGTTGTTACTCCAATCAGAAATCTTTGAGTTTCGAATGCTATTGGGATGATTGAAACAGCATTAGAACCATTCCAATATGGTTGAAACAATCATATTGGCAGGTTTCGAGTTTCAGCGTTTTGCACACCCCTTGTCAGAGGGTGGGAATGGAGAGGAAAGGAGCCAGCCCCCCCCCCACAGCTAATGAGTGAAGACAGTGCTGTTTAATATTATACAAACATTTTGAGACTTTATGGGTATCAGTGTCTGTTTATATGCATATCTAGCATAAATATATATTCTAATACCTACTTAATACTTAGAACTTAACTAAATGACTTAAATTTCTAATACTTTGTTTAAAGGACACACTGCTTCGCTGCTAGTTTCTTCCTCCTCCCATACTACCTTATCTTCAGGGTTAGGAACACTAATGGTTTCTCCCCTGAATTCTCTCTTGCCAGTTATCCAGGAGCACCTGGAGTTCACTCTGCTACTATCTGGTGTCCAGGGCTGTGTCTTTTTTCTGCTGGCTCTTTTCTGCCCACTCTTCTTTGGTTTCAGCTTCTGCAGGCACCTTCCTGGATCTTCTCCCTGGCCCTGGGTCCTCTGGTGCTTGGCTCTCCCAGCCCTTGCCCCCTCTGCTCCACGCCTTGTCTAGTCGCCTCTCACTCCGGCAGCATCTCCTTCCAAACCTAGAAGAAAACCGCCTCCTGTCCACCTGCTCTAGCTTCTTTTATGCTTCTCTTTTTTTACAAAACCCTACATGCCAGCTTGCAGGTGCTTCTAAGGAGTTTAAATCTTCCCCCACTCTTTCTCTGCAAGGTCCTACGTACCTAAGTTGGGCAGCTGACATTCAGACCACTGCAGAGTAAAAACTGTAACCTTGATAATCACATGTAACATTTCTCTGTTTCAGGGCAGTTCATCCTTCACACCCTTATTCATAACCCTTTCTTCTTTCCCTTTTTTTTTAGCCGGTCACCCTGTGGACAGGAAAACAGGTGTTTAGTATAATTCTGAAGCCTGGGGACAGTTGTCCGGTCAAGGCCAACCTCAGAACCAAAGGCAAACAGTACTGTGGCAGAGGAGAAGACTTGTGCAGTAACGACTCCTGTGAGTAGTGTGGCCACCCTGATTTTTTATCACGCTCATTGGCTGCTAGGATTTATTGAAAAGACACTTCTGAGCTAACACGCTTTCGTAAAATGTTTTATGATATAATGTTTTCTTCAGAAGATGTGTTGGTTCAAGACAGATAAAAGAAGCTACTTCACTCTTCCTCATGCATAACCCTCTAGTAGAATTCATTTTTGCAAGATGTGGTGAAGGCTCTTTTCCAGATGTCTAGCAGGCTTTTAGAAAAAGGGCCTGCGGGTTAGTACGGTCAGTGGCTTTAATCCTGATAGTTCAAACATGGTAGGCTTAATCATGGTAGGACTAATCAAGGTAGGCAGTAACAATATACTTCAGCCTTTGCTTCTACTGAAGGTTAAGGAAAGTGTTAAGCAGAAGGTTTCATTGACACAATGCCATCATGTTTTGCAGTGCAAACAGAGAGCAAATGCAGGAGAATGTTGAGTCTTGGTAGACTCTCACACATAGTGAACTTTGAATTGCACAGACCTGTGTTCTCTAACAATTGTTTCTAACAGTTTCCTGATTCAGAAAATACATTCCTTAAAACCCACTGGTTCTAATGAGATTTGTAACCGCGCTAATATTTCTGACTTCTTTATTATGTTGGGCATCAGGGAAAGCTCAGTCAATCCTGAGCTTAGTAGTTTAGTTTTGGATATGGTAGCAGATGAATCAGAAGCATTATCAGTCCAAATCAGAAGATTCAGTCCAAATCAGGATGTTAAACTGCCCCTAAATTATTCTAAATTATGATTCCAAGGGGATGTTCCTAAGGAAGGTGTGCGCACACCTGCAATACAAAGCAGTTGCTGGAGCAGAAACTTCAGGGAAGGAAGGATGTTAAAGGGTCTTATGAAATCACCTTCCAATTAAACTCAAGTCAGGTGATACATGGACACATTCGTGCAATTTTCTTGGCATGATACAAAAGTGATTTCCCATTGCCTTCTGCCAAAATGTTTGGTCTAGCCAGCATCCACAGACTTCCCAAATCCCTACCCATGTATTAACCAATGCCAATCCTACCTAATTTTTTGGATCATTATTATAGCTGTGCTGCAAGCAGAGAAGCAGTTCACTTTCTGTTTCCAAAAAATTAGCAAAGCCCAATTTGGTTTTGCAGTTCTTAACTTGTTTGAATAAGAAAATGACTTTCTTCTTCCATGAGAACTGTAGCTTTAAAACTTGCAAAGCCTGGCACTCTAGGTGCTGCTATGTTTCTATCTATCCTTGGCTTATTTTTTGATGCACTTTTAATTAGCTTTTAATTTTCTTGGACTTTAATGAACATACTTCTTTGAATATGTCCTATTTGGTTTAAATTGTCACAAAAAATAAATTGTTTGATTCCTCCTGCCCTTCTAATAATTTCTTTGTCTATCAGGTAAATTGCTCTCTGAGAGTATTTTGAATGAATGAGCCAGGACTTTACTATTAGTTTTGCTATTTTTTTTATAAGCTGTACTTATAAGCTGTACACTGTGTAACTGTGTGTAACTGTACCATGATGTAATTGCTCTCTGAGAGTATTTTGAATGAATGAGCCAGGACTTTACTATTAGCTTTGCTATTTTTTTTATAAGCTGTGAAAAATAAGAAAGAAAAATAAAGTTAAAGTAGATATTGTATTATAAATTTGGGCCAGAGATGACTTATCATTTCTATAAAGACTGCAGCATTAAAACATTTTCCTAGGTGGTTATCTTTTATTTAATATTATTTTCAAAATGCTTAAACTATATCCTTGGGGAGGGCGGAGCTGGCGTCACGGCGATACGGCGGGG